TTGGAGTCTAACCGTAAAATTGTAGGATATAAAAGAATGCGAAGCGCTAGAGTCAAAAAGAATACGTGCTAGAAAGGAATTCACAAGGAAAGTACCTTCCACCACCATCCCGTTCACGCCATGATCGTGAGGAACAACTGCATACACTCTACCAGTCAGCTGTGCTGCATCACCTGGAACGTATGGGACTATATGTCCTTGCTGGGTCTCCTAAATCGCTCGTACCTATCCCTCAATCGTTGGGACTACTGGAGGTGTCTCAATACTCAACTTCTGACCCTGACTGCGACCCTAAGTAGGGTTCTGCTACTGTTGCTGATTTATGTTGCTGCTGATTTCTGCCTTACTGACCTGTTGTGGGTGCACTGCAGCACTCTGTTGCTCTATGACTGAGCTTGTTGTAATTGAAATAAGCTCCATGAAATCGATGCTGCTGTTGCACCCTCTGATTCTGCTGATTGCCCTTCTTATGGGGACCCTGTAGATGTGGAGCCTTATTCTGATGCTGGGATCCTCTTGAGCCTGTAAAAGGTCTCTTACCCTTACTTTTATCCCTGGACTATCCTGACTTAGCATTTCCATCTTTGCCCTTAATAAATATAGCTATGTTTGTCTCCTACGCTATGGCAGCATCTGCCACCTCCTGTACTGAATGAAATCTTCGAGATACTAGATATCAACGTAAACCTGGATGAAGTCCCATCATGAACATCTGGGCCTGCCTCTCCTCGGTGTGCCACATGCTATTGAATCTAAGTAGTGATATGAACTTACTCTCAAAGTCCGTCACCGACATATCCCCCTGCTCCAATCGAGCCAGCTCTAACTCCTTCACGGCTTTCGCTACAGCTTAAACATACTGCTCTTCAAAGAAATACACAAAAGTCTCCCACTAAGCCATCATCCTGTGCTCTAGGCTAAAACGAAGCCGATATCATCCTCCGGCATCACCCTTGAGGCTAGAAGCTGCTAGCCTCTGCTTCTGCACAGTATTCACATTAAACATGTCCAAAATGTTGCTTATAACTTCCTTCCACTTGTGTGCTGCAATAGAATCCGTCGAACCATGAAACTCTGGAGCCTTCAACTTCTGGTACCTCTCTACCAAATGAAGCCAAGCCTCTCGCTCAGCCATTCCATCATCAACTGAAGGTGGTGGTATGACTACCGGTGTCCCCTCTGGTATCTCCTCCTGAATGAGTGTTCCCTGTCGAACCTGATCTACTAACTTCTCCTCAATAGCTGCCAGACGAGCTACTAATGGTTCTATGAGATCCACTAAATATTGCGGAGCCTACTGCGGCTCGACTCTCTATTGACTTGCTCAGGTCCCTAAGCTCGAGTACTTCGATGTCCACGTCCTCTTCCTAACATCTATAATTTAGAAGTAAAGCTTATTACACAGTAAATAGAATCTCAAGCAGGAAAAGATATAACGTATACTAATAAGTAAATCATATCATATATATCTCATAGCATGCTTTATTATTCAAGCAAGTAGTTCATCATAAAAAAATTTGTAAATTTTCCGCGTACATATATAATACGTCCTTACTCATACTAGGAATTCCTAGCGGACTATATACATGATTCCTTCTAAACTCTATCCTAACTCCACATATGACACAGGAATGATCCTAAGGATATTGGAACCTAGAGCTCTGATACCATCTGTGACGCCCCAGGTTTCACGTGAGGCTGCAATCTAAGGCGAAACTCGGATTGTCAAACCTGCCAAGCACCAAACACCATGCTACGACTTGTTTCACTATCACAGTCACTATCTCTCTAGGGAAAACAATAAATAGGTGAAGGTACAGACAGGCAAAAAATAGAAATAGAATGAAACTAAGTGTACACATAAGCTATATGAGAATAATCTTCAGTGAGTCCAACTAGAATAGAATTGAAATATCTATGAGTCTGAAATAAATCTCAAATACAATGAGTCAAACAAAATACCTCTATGGCTCTCAGCTACAACAAAATGAGATACAAGCCAAGAGTCTGAACTTAAATAACTAACTGTGGAGTTCTGTAAAAGTTACAAATATAATAAATAACTAGATAGAAACTATGAGGAAATCCCATCAACCTGCGACTCTTCGTGCGCCGGACTACCTGCATCTATCCCTCTCCCCATAGCGAGCATCAAAGCGCTATAGCGAGATCATCTCCACCTCTCCCTAGGGGAAGGGGTAGGAGTATAAAGAAAATATTGATAGTATACAAGTATAAAATCATTCATATAACTCTAACTGGAGATTAGTATTTAGCAATCCACAATACGAGAGTTAGTACGTTAAGCGAAATAATTCAAACAACGAAATCCTCATGTATACCATGTCTCAAATTGTGACTCCCTAAATACTGATTCCAAACTCTATAAATGAAAAAGAACAACAAACAAAAAGATAACACTCCAAACCTCAAACCTGTAGAACAAATATCTCATCCCGATCTACACTCGGGTAGACGGATCTAACATAAGAGAAACTCATCCAAAACAAAGATTAACCATAAGCCCTACCGTGTAAGCCACAGTCTCAGAGAAAACACCCTACTTACGGGTATTCAAAATGGAAGTAAAACTACAATTTATAATACTTACAAGTGTGCATCTCATGTGCATTAGCGATACTCTTGTAATATTCTTACTCAATCGCTCTGCGGCAATAGATTTTATCTCCCTATCCCGGATACATGAAATGGCGATACTTTTGTAATGTTTTTACTCAATCGCCCTGCAGAAATAAGTTTTTATTTCCCCATTCCGGATATATAAAATAAAGATACTTTTATAATATTCTTACTCAATTGCCCTGCGGATATAGGTTTCATCTTCCTATTCCGAAAACATGAAATTACTATACTCATCATATTTATCAACTTAAATTAGGACAAAGGTATGTCTACACAACATATTCTAAATATATGTGCACATGTCTCGGTGTGCATATCCATATCTGGTGTTTACTGACATCTAGAGTGTTAAACAACTCATAAACATTATATTACAGTAGTACAAGGTCGAGAGGCTCGGTCGAAAACCAAAACAATCGAACAAAACATGCACAGGCTGATATACAGTTTGGCGGTCGATCGTAATTATGCGACGGTCGACCGCGACGACTTCCAGGGCCTACCCAGGCCTCTGCTCTGCACGCGGTCGACCGCCAATAAGACGCGGTCGACGACTTCCAGGGCCTACCCAGGCCTCTGCTCTGCACGCGGTCGACCGCCAATAAGACGCGGTCGACTGTGGGCTGAAATTCCAGATTCTAAATCTAGTTGTGTGTGTTATGCTCACACCGTGTTTAGGTGATTCAAACATGATTAAAATAATATGAATCTTGCATAGAAACATATCAACAGCAGATAAAAACTTCTGGGAGCAACATAATATATAATACATGATTATGTGCATAAAAAATCATATTTAAAACCCTAAAACATGCATAAGAACTTGAAACAAAGAACAATTCATCTTTCTTCAGATTAAACTACTTTTAAATCATTTTCAGATCTTAAATATCTTCTATAAATTCGTTCTCAAACCTTTTCATATGGAAAGATCTAGTCTTTATACATATAATACAAAAAAATTAACTTTTATTCATAAACTAGTCAATTTGGCTCTATAAAACATGTTAAAAACTCTTTAAAAACATTTTAAAAAAACTAAGAGGGGGATTAGCAGAGATGAAATTGCCTGAGATTTGTAGAAAAACATTTAAGATGCCAAACCAAAGAAGATCTCCACTCCAAAAGCCAAAAACCATACAAAATCCCGCTCAAAAACGTCCAATCTTCTTCAAGAATCAAGTTATGGTTTATGGGGGTTTGGTGGCTATTAGGGTTCTTAGAAAAACTGAGAAAATTCATGAAAGATTGATATATAAACCAAGAAAAATGAATATGAGCTTTAGAAATCCGAAACCAACTCAAAACAGGAGAAAAGCTTTTGCAGGTCTCGCGGTCAACCGTGACGGTGGACCGTCTGCGGTCGACCGCAGCGGTCGACCGGACTGGAATTTTCCAGCTCCTCATATATTTAGCAATTGTGCATGTTTTGACTCTTTTCTTCCTCACTAATGAACTTGTTTATACTCAAAACACATGGTATACTACTCACATACCATTTAACTGTATTTATCAAAATAAAAATCCATATATCATAATTAATCACATATTAAATATATATATATATTACAAATTTTTGGGCTTTTATAAAATCATAGTGGAAACTCTCAAACGGGATTTGCTTAGGGACTGGATGTACACCTGGAAGGTGGAACCAGTATAAATCCTTGTGTTTGTATTGATGATTTTCTGTGATTGTCATTTCTTCTTTGTAAATTATTATCTACTTTGCATAAAATTTTATAAATACTATTCACACCCCCTCTAGTGTTTTTAGTGTGATTAGATCAGATCATACACTCACCTGGTCCTATAATACTACATCACATATACATTCCTAATTAAAAATAAGAGCAACAATTACTAATCACTTATAATTATTTTATTAATTTTTATTGGCGTTTTAAGGATTTGTTCTCTGAACTTACCATTTTGTACTCAAAATATATTATTTTTCAAAACAAGGGCTAAATGATAATTTATAAACAAATAAATTTTTTAAGTAAAATATTGTCTATGGACTTAAAAAATATCTAGAATTTAGGCACTGAGATAGAAAATTTTATTTTACCAAAAGATTTCTCTTGTAATTCCTAATAAACAGTGTTTGTGTGTGAAATATTATTTCAAACAATATAGGGAGGTTAATGAAAATTTTCTAGATTAAATGTTATGTAGTTTTCTATTATTTAAAAGACAAATCCTTAAAAAAACCTTAAATAAGTTTAGGGTTAAATTTCATTTTCCTCTCATCTGTAAATCATTATTTAATGCTAGAGGACAAAACAAACCCTATTAGAGATAGAGGCCAAAAAGACATTATCTTTTCTTTATCTTCTTCCTATGTTTCACGTGAATGAAACCAGCTCATTCTCTCCTTCTTCTTCTTCTTCTTTTTGGTTGTGTGTTTGGATTGCCACGGTGACCACCGACGAAGGACCATTTGACCATAGAGTGGTTGAAGAACGTAGCCTGAGGCAACACGGATGGCTATAGTAGGTAAAGTTTCATCCTTTCATTCTTATTACTATTATTATTATTTTGTTTTACTCTAACTAAAAAAATCTGGAATAAAAGCTTACCTAAAATCTTATGCTTCTCCTTCCTCCATCTATTCTCAGAATCCCTCTACTTGTGTGAGGGAAAACTCACGAATGGGTTGATCTTACAAAGATTTATGGTTGTTCATTCTTTACTCTTATAACATATTTTCACACATTATGGAAGCAATAATCACATTTTACATAATGAAACACATTCTTTTTGAGGGTGTACTAGCAAATTCAATTTTGAATTTGCTTCTGATGATGGGTGCTCATTGGGGCGGAGCCAGTAATATCCATAGTATTTTAGAGAATAATTAATCTCTGTATTTTATGTTAATTAATATGCATAGAGTATGTCTATATATTGAGGTTACAAGAGACAGAAAGTATCTATCCAATCTCTAAAGATAGTATCTTATATCTATCTGAATCTCTAAAGATATTAACTAATATACAATAATTATCATGACATAATTACATATAATATCTTTAATACGCTCCATAAGCTAAGGGTGTGAAACGACTTGCAGCTTGGACTGCAGGAACTCGAAGTGGGTCCAGGCTAACATCTTGGTCATGATACCTGTGAATTGATCCTACATACTAATAAACTAGACCTGAGGATCACGACGAGCAACCTTATAACAGATGAAGTTGAAATCGATCTCAACGTGCTTCGTCTATGTGCGAAAAACTAGATTCGCGGATAGATAGGTGGCCCCTAAATTGTCACACCAAAGCACTTGAGGAGAATGGAGAGGGATACAAATTTTTGAGAAGAGTGACAGAAGCCAAGTCAGTTCGGCCTATGTGTCTGCAAGAGCCTTGTACTCGGATTCGGTGGAAGATCGGGAAATAGTGTATTGCTTGTGGGACATCCAAGAGATGAGATTCATACCAAGAAAGAACACAAAACCCCTGTCAAATTACAATCGTCGAGAGATCTAGTCCGATCATAATCACAGAAGCCTAGGAGATGATCATTAGGTCCACATTGGAATGATAGACCGTGATTGATTGTCCCTTTCAGGCAACAGAGGATGTGTTTGACCGCCATCCAGTGGTCCTTCATCAGCTAATGCATAAACTGACAGACTTATTAACCACAAACGACAGATCACGTTGGGTTAGAGTGATATATTGAAGGTCTCCCAGAATCTGTCTGTACTTGTCGGGTCGAGGAATAGAGTAACAAAGAGTTTATTAAGTACCATGGATATAGAGAGGGGAGTGGTAACCAGTTTGGCATCAGAGAGGCTCACTTTTTGAAGGAGCTCAAGAATATATTTCTGCTGAGAGAGATAGAGACCTAAGGGCTGCGGGACCACCTCAATGCTAAGGAAATAATATTGAAGACCCAAATCCTTAATGGAGAATTCAATCGACAATGAGGTGAGGAGAGAAGATATAAACGCCGAATCATTACCTGTCATATTAATACCATCTACATAGACAACAAATAATTGAATATCGCCATTCAAGTAGAAAAAGAGTGAAGAGTTAGTTTTGGACCTCGTAAATCCATTACTAATAAGTGCCTAAGAAATCCAATGAAACCAAGCTCGGGGGCCTGTTTGAGGCCATATAGAGACCGATGAATATGCATATGTGATCCAAAAGTGATGGATCTATGAAACTAGGTGGCTAATATGTATAAACAGTATCTGTGAGATTGCCATGGAGAAAGGTGTTGTGAACATCGAGATGGTGAATAGACTATCTACTAGCACGATCAAGGCAATGATAGTGCGTATTGTCATAGGCTTAACGACCAGACTAATAGTTTCCTTGTAGTCCACTCTAGGTTGCTAGTGGAATCCCTTAGTGACTAGACGAGCCTTATATCACTCAATTGACCCATCTGCCTGCTTTTGAACTTGAAGACCCACTTGGACCCAACCACATTCATGGAGGCATATGCCAAAACTAGAGACCAAGTGCTATTCCGAAGAAGGGCATTGAACTCATCGGCCATAGCCCTAAGCCACTTAACTTTCTTATTAGCAATGGGAAAGCATGTTGGTTCAAGAAGTGGTGTGTGTGTGGTAGTAGTGCATGTGGATGCGGAAAGAGAAAATAGGAATCTAGGTTTTAAGTTAGAGCACAATTGCATAGTATGAGTTCTGGGAGGTGGTCGTAGGGTGACACTTGAGGGAGACGACTATAAAGATGTAGAAGGGACAGAGAAGGGGGTAACAGATTGTCTAATAGGGGTATGTAGAGAAGGGGAAAATCAGGAGGGGATGATACAGGGAGGAGGATGAACAACGGGACTAGGCTGGAGAGAGTAAGCATGCAATTTTGAGTTTAATGGAGGAGTATAAAGAAGATGGGGAATGGTAAGAGAGGGTTCGGTCGAGGTTGTGCTGGGGCTGAAAGAAGAGGGGCTCATGGTATACAACAGGAACTGATGCTCATCAAATTGAACATGCCTCACGATATAAAGATGTTGTGTGTTGGTCTAGAAACCGATAGCCATGATGGGAAGGACTATAACCTAGAAACACGCAATGGGAGGACTAGAAATCCATCTTAAGGGAGTTATAAGGCCTTAGATATGGAAAACCGAGGCACCCATAGACCTTAAAAAATAGTTAATCCGGGGAGGATTGGAAGAGACACTAAAAAGGGGATTGATTTGAGGACACTTTGGATGGCAAGTGATTGATGAGGTAGACAACATTTTCGAATGCATGATGCCAATATTTGTGAGGGATAGAAGAATGAGCTAATAAAGAAAGGCCAATTTCAATGATATGACGACTACAATGTTCAACAACACCATTTTGTTCAAGAGTGTGAGGGTAAGAGAAACGATAAACAATGCCCAAGATAAAAAAATAAGTAGTTAATTTGCAAAATTCCCCCCTCCCTAATCAGTTTGAATAGATTTTAGTTTCGTGTTGAATTGACGTTCAACTATCACCAAAAACTTTGGAAAAATAATAAACACCTAAGATTTTTGAGAAATTGGAAAAATCCACATGTACGTGGAGTAGTATGCATCAATAATTAGAGCAAAATATCAATGACCAACCGAAGAAATAGTAGGAGAAGGACCCCCAACATCATTATAAATAAGGGATCAAACCTGTTGAAATATTCAGCAGACTTCTCTGTGATTTTTACTTGCTTCATTAAGTCCTTCCATGAGTTTGCTTTTATAGCACCCATGTAGGCCTCTATATGGCTTAGGATATTTGAAGTAGCATCAAAAGTGATATATCCTAACAATGTAGGTTCAAATTGTGAAACCGTTCAATATAATCTCTAACCAAATCATCACCTCTCTGCTTTTCAGAGAGCAGTCTAGCCTTGGTCACATCTAATTATTCCTCATAAAATTACAAGAGGAACTGAGACACTAAATCATCTCAGGACTTAACCTATCCATCTGCCAAATTTTGAAAACAATCAATGGCTGCCCCCTAAAATGTTCTAATAAAAAGTCATGCCCTGATGGAATCATTTCCTACTACATTCCCTATTTGCTGATAGAAGTAGTAAATATGTTAGTTTAGAGAACCTTTACCATCAAATGCATGTAACATTGGCAGCTTAAAGTTTATTGAGTAGGGAACCAAATCCCACTCAATGGGGGTAAGGTCGGGTAATTCCAAGCTTCTTTAGCTTTGTCCTTTATGTGAGAGCATTGAGCTGCTCTTGAAGATGCTCAAGGACCTTAACCTTATGACTTACTTTAGGAAGCACTGATGTTTTGATCCTATGTGGATGGAATTTTCATACTCATGATATACTTGCTCTTTTTCTGAAGGTATCCCAATAAGAGATCGTTTCCCTTTTGAAAAGCTTGGTCAAGGATGAGAAGCTAGCATAAGTTAATTAAGCATATCCTCCAATCGCTCAAACCATTATTCTGATGCTTTTCTTTAAGCCTCAATTTGACGAACAAGATTATCATGAGCCTCTCACTCAACCATAATCACAACCCATTGTTGCTCATGACATGAACTAGAAGTTGCATCTGAAGAAATAGAGGAATTTGCATTAATGGTGGGTTGACCAATTTGGGACAAAGCTAGTGGAGCATGCATTGGAAGGAGAGAGAGTAATCAAAGGAAATTATTGCACATTGTCTCGACCTGGTGTGATGATACATATTATTGGTTTCTAGAAGTATACTTCCAATACCAGGAGAGTATTTGGATCAGAAAGATTATCATCATCTTCATCTTCATCTAACTCTTGTTAGTTTCTTTTACCCTTTTGGGTGCGTCATGGCCTTTTCATCCTAGCCTCTAAATGCTCAGGAATTTAATTGAGATGATTAAAAACTGATGGATTTACATTAGCAAGTCATTTAAACTGTCATGATAATTTTTCTTAAGGTCACACAATGTTGACATTGGTATATGCCCTTTTTAGAGAAAAGAACTATCTTAAATAAACAAGAGCTCCAACTTGACATAAGCAATTGCTCCCTTTAGGGGCAACTTCACCTATTTGGATTGTAGTGAGCGAACGTCACCTATGACAACATTGCTTTTCCCTTCGACTAGTGTGGGAAATTCAAGTTCTCATCACACGCCAAAACTTATGATTTGGATGAAAAGTCACCATAGGTGATATTGTTTCCTTGTTGGATATTAGATGAAGGATTACCTGTGTTCTTTTCTCATATTAAGGAAGCATAAAGAGCATCGCAAGATGCTTTAAAGAAGACCCTGCGGGGATATAGATTGATGTCCAAAATCAGAAGACATATGAGTGTCTTAGCCTTCACTTGAAGAGAGAGTCAATGCTTCTCCGCTTTGGGTGGAGTTTGCTTGGCTTCTAATGAAGCTCAAACTATCTTTAGCAAAATTTGCCTTGACATATGTGAGGGTCGAATTCGAACCTACTTTCACACTACGGTGAACCTGGTGATAGCTCCTGATAGTAGCCATCGACGATTTTGGAGAGCAAATAAATTTGTCGAACTTTGATTTATCA